CCTAGTAGCGTCCTTGCTCCTAGTAGCGAGGCCAGGAGCCCCTAGTATTGTCCTTGCTCCTAGTAGTAAGTCGAGGAGCCCCGAACGTAGCGTCATGTGCATCTTCAACTCCAAGGATCGTATCATCCAGGCACAAACCAGCGATGGGCGAAAGGCCCGCGGTGTCCGTGCAGGGACGTCCGATGGTCCGGTCGGCGGGGGGAATTGATACCTCGAGCCTCGATGCAGATCAAAGGGCTCGGTCCCCAACCTTGAGTCTCTTGAGTCTCCTCCTGAATTCATCTAGTTTCTTTAGCATGCTTAACTAAGGGTGGGCTTAGCTAGGTTTTTTGCATCAGCTTGATGCCGTTCCGGCCGTTTGGCTCGGTTGGCGGCGCAACCATGCGCAACCTGGGCCCTCCATTTTTTGCAAAGCCGTGGTCAGCAGTCCAATACGAGGGACGGTCAGTTCATGCCAGTTCTTTCCTTTATATGCCAATTTGGATGGACATCAACACATGGCTGGACCGAATTAAAGAGACTCAAATTGACATTCTGCGGGTGAGTCCTGTGTCAAGCAAACCTATGGAGCTTTCTTTGGTGGGTAGCCGACAACGGATGTTATCATATATGTTCATAATATATATATATATTATTCATGGTGAATCAATAGTCCTTAAAATGTGTTCTTTACCTTTGATCCTGCCACGCACCCGCCCGTTCCCTCCTTTGAGCACCGGAGGTGGTCAAGTCGCTGTCGTGGTTCAACGCCAATCAAGATGGAGGCGAGCCGGGACCGTTGCGGCGCGCCCACGGCGGGTGGTGGGGATATCGGGAAAGTGGAGATGAACGGTTTGCAGTTGAGAAAGTCGATTTGTCAGATGTTTGTTGACTCAGTGCGATGACAAGAGCTATATAATTGGCCTTGGGCCTTGGGCATGTTTGTAGATGTTTCATGATGTTTCAGGCAGTTGTTTTATGTACCCGTTGTGATATTGGGTCAACTATGTGTCCAATGTCTCCGGATTAACAAAACCACCACCCAGAAGGTTTCATAGTTGGGGGGTTGCAGAAGTAGGGCGACGTTTCTTTAATGAAATGAGAGGTCACCAAGATAATCTCTGCATGAGAAGATGCCCCAAAGATAAAATTTGTGCATGATTCTCCATGAGATCCCAAGATTTGAATCTCTTCATGAGGAGGGATCACCAAGACCACCCCAAGAAAAGTTCTTTCCTGCGGGTGGGTTATGGGGAGCCCGTTTGGAAGCTTGCAAAAGTATTTTTTGGGTTGGCTCATATGGATAAATTTATCACAGTTTTTCTGGTGTTGGTTTTGGGATTCTAATTTTGAGGTGTCTTTGGCGAGGCTTGGACTGCAGTTGCGCAAGATAAGGTTGCGAAGTCAGTGAGACACTTGCCACGAAAACAGAGCATATTGCAGAGTGCCCTGACCGTGCCATGGAGAAGATGACCCAGAAGAATGCTGAGGTGTGCGTGTGTGTGTATATAAAACTATTGCACGTAATTAACGGCTGCAAAGTATCAGTAACTAGAGTGCTAAGTATTCAGACACACACACACATGTACACACACACACATGGACATACACCCCCTCCCAGCCCCGCGCTTTCTCTCTTGCGCTTTCTTGGTTTTCTGGGTTTTCTTTGAGGCTTGGTGGTTCTTGAGGCACGATTCCCTTCCCCTCTTCAGTCAAGGGCTAAGTAGTCAAGTGCTAAGTAGTCACTTGTTTCCGCTACTCCTACCTTTCCTTCTTGCCCTTTTCGTTTTGCTCTTTCTGTCTTGCTTTTTCTTTCCTAAGGCTTTTTAGCTGACTATACAGGTTCTGCGAGAGAGCGCCGTGAAGCGGCCGAGTGTGTGTGTTACCCTCCGCTTCCAGGAGCTTGTTTCTTACTCAGTTCGCAGGGGGGCACGGCGGCCGTTCACCTAGCCGTGCTAACAAAGCTATGGTGTTCGGCTGGAAGAGATACTGGACGCAGTATCTTGTACCTGCAAATTTTTAATACCAGTAGTATATAGTCACACTCAAAAGTCACACTCAAACATTGTTGAACAATTCTTTTGAGCTGACTTTGCGCCTTTCCGTTCCATCTTTCCTTTTTCTCGGGGAACAGAGTTAACTGAAAACCCAATGACTAAGTGTGTGTCCCCCTCTGTTTCCAGGAGTTTCCTTTCAAGCATGCAGGGGGACGGGACACCCCTGGCACTGCCCGTCCAGCGAAGAGGGTGTCAGTCGGTGCTGAGAAGCAGTGGAGGACGTTCCACTGTGTACCTGCATGACTACCTGCACTTATTATAGGATAACACAAAATTGATTCTCAGCGTACTGTGTACGTCGGTTCTTTTCCTTCTCTCCTAGCTACCAACTCTTTCCTTTTCTCGCTACTCCTCCCCTACTTAATTCATGAGTGCTAAATAGTCAGCAACTAATTTGCGAGTGTTTTTGAAACTGTGATCAAACATCTCCAAGCTTGTTGCGGACTCCTCCGCCACCCTGCCGTTCCACCATTCTTTTCTCTGTGGATTCTGGTACTGAATGAACCCTTATCTAAGTGTGACTCGCTGTGCTTTCCCACCTGGGTGCGTAGTGTGATCCTCTCGCAACAAAGGCGCTGAAACCACGGGCCACGGGGATTCTGGTTTGATTTAGCCGCTTGCACTCTGTGATTATAGTTTGGATTGGTTTTTTTTCACCCATGAATTATCTGAACCATGTGCCGCCGGGCTCACGGATTGAATGCCGCCGGGCTTACGGAGAATGAACTCCCACCCCCACCCCTCCCTTCTTTCCTTCTTGCGATTTCTTCGTTTGTTAGGCGTTTCTTCAGGCTTGTTAGGCTGTTCTTGAGAGGCTCGTTTCCCTGCCCCTCGGTTTCGCACGTTGAGCCTTTTTTGCTACTTCTATCTTTTTCTCTTGCCTTTTTCGTTTTGCTTTGTCTGTCTTTCTTTCTGCTCTAAGGCTTGCTAGGTGGCTATTCAGGTTTTAAGCCCGTAATTTGCCAGCCGGTCGGCAGACATGCATGGCCCTATACGCCTATCTTTCCCTCTTGCCCTCTTCGGTTTGCTCTTTTCTTCCTTTTTCCTTTTTCTTTTTTCTAAGGCTTGTTACGTGGCTATTCAGGTTTTTGCCGGAGTGGGCGCCGCTATGCGGCACTCTGTGTGTGTGTGCCATCCTTCGTTTCTAGGAGTTTCCTTTCAAGCATGCAAGGGGACGGGACACCACTGGCACTGTTGTCCAACGAAGAGGGTGTCAGTCGGTGCTGAAGCAGTGGAGGACGCTCCACTGTGTAGGATAGCAGAAGGAAATGGTTCTCGGCGTACTGTGTACGTTGGTTCCTTTCCTTCTATTTTCCTCTAATGATGTGATTCGATTGTCTCACCCCTAGCTACCAACAGGAGGCTTCTCTTTCCTTTTCTCGCTACTCCCCTACTTCGTTCATGAGTGCTAAGTAGTCAGTAACTGAAACTTTGTTCAAAAATTTCCAAGTTTGTTGCGGACTCCGCCACCTTGCCGTTCCACCATTCTTTTCTCTGTGGATTCTGGTACAAAATAAACCCTTACCTAAGTGTGTGCGCAGCAAAGGCCGCACATATCCACCTATTTTGGCAAACAAGGTTCGGTGAATAGGCAATGCCAAAGGCATGAGCCAAGAATGAGCCACTATCGAACATGTGTGCCAGAGTTGAGTTGGAGAAAGGAGTTTTTAATGGGCAGCCCCTGAGGCCGACTGAAACTTCATGCTCCAGACATACGTACCACACGCGTGCATGTACAACGGTTTCAGTGTACAAAATTCACATGTATATATATTTTTATATCTATCTAGCCGAGTGTGTTTCCAGAACCCATAATTAGGGCTGGGGACATGTCCACGGGGATTCGTTTCCCTATTTACATCATCGTTTTTCGATGAACGGGTTCTGCATGACAATGTGTATGTTTGTATTGTTTCTATGTTTTTCCTTAAATCCACATTGACTGATTTTCATGCAGGGAATATTTTTAACTGGTCCATATGATGAAACCTGTAGTTGTTCCTTTTTGTAACACTTCGATTTCGTTCCGGGTCGTCCCCAAGTAATCCCACCTTGTTCATGCCCGGCAATTGCCTCTTGGGTCACGGTTGCCCAGGTGTCTACAACCTCCTTTTGTTCAACAGTGATGGCAGCCTCAACGAGGCCAAGCGCCAAGCGCGCCGCCGCGCCGTCGCTTCTGGTGTTGCCATTGTCCATGTTTGGGTTATATTGCGTGATGACCTCAGGGTCCCAACCTTTGGGGGGGAATAGGATGGAATATTTGATTCGCAAAAGTGTGACATATGAGCCATATGAATGTTGAGAAACTGTGTCGTTTTGGAGGGTCAAACAATCATTGAATCATCCTCATCAGGTATTGAAAAATAGTGACCATTCAAGAGATGTATCGTGTTTTCAGCATGTGTTTTGTTTTTGACCCAATTCGGGGGTTGTTGCCCATAATCTACTGCTGGGTGTGAAGACTTTGGGATTTTGTTCGACGGCGTCGTAACCCATTTGCAGGCGGGTGAAGCATACCTTTCTGCCTGCAGCCGCTGGCGGGGACGGTGAGATGCGAGATGTGCCACGCCAAGGCCAGGTGTTGCACTGCTCAGACGTGAAACCATATTGATCGGAGAGTGAATCTACTGAACAAATATGAAACCAATCGATTAATTAAGTATTGTTGGTCCATTTGGTGCCACTATACCGAGAGTATTAGATCATATCATGTTTTAACTATTGCAAAAGTTACTCTATTTCCCGCAAAATTCAGATGTTGAAGCTGATATTAGATTAAATGGTTCTGTTTTGGGACACTACAGAAGAAACCGCTGTATGACATCGACTGTTGAATCTTTGGGAATAGACTGGTTTTTGACATGTGTCGACCCACGATCCATGTCGTGCCTTTCGTGGGGCAGTGGGCCAGACAATAGACAGCCTTGGTTTGAGCTAAGTGCTCGGGCAATAAGCCGTTTCTGCCAAACTGTTGGTCTGACACGCGTGAGGTGGGTCAAAGCTCTGGCGGGTCGTTTGCAGTTGGTGTTGCAGTCTCCCAAATTCCTCGATGACTGGGGTGGATGCTCCCTTGACCATAGCTATGGGTGAGAAAAATCGCTGGTGGCGGGGGCCCAGGAGCCAGAGGTCTCAGGGAGCCCACGGCCAAGTCCCAAAACAATCGCTGGTCCTTGAGACCTCTCATTTCTGCTGACTTCTGGTGCTCAGAGTGGGGATGTTCCCACTGAAGATCCGGTGTCTTTCCTGATTCAGGAGGGATTCGCCCTTAAATTTGAGCGACTACGATCTTGAAATATCTTGATTGAATACTTCTTGTCTCCAGAATTGACCCTCCTCTCGTTCGCTTGCAGTGAAGCTTCATGTGACTTTGAACAGTGCCAAGCTTTCGCTGCGACCGAATCTTAAATCTGTCTTGTCCATACCATGTGCATTGCGACTTTGGATTGGCAATGAGCCAATTTCACAAAGTGTGCTGCAAACGGAAGGACAATATTCGAGGACCCTCAAACGAAGGTCTTCAATTCGCTAGCAGGTTGGAATACGCTTCAAAGTTACAGTGTATATATATATATACGTAGTTCGGGTGTGCTTGGGATGTTGTTTATATGATTTTATATGTGTGTTCAATGGCCCTGAAAGAGAATCCACACGAATGGCACACTACGAAGGGTACAGACTAGATTGATTCAGTTGTGATAAAAGGATGCTCACATCCAGCAGATTTCCAAGCTGCTTGGTCCTGCCTCAATTTTGAACTTTGAGAGCCCCCCTTGGAACGAGTTTTGCGCGCTTTGCATCTGTCGCAGCTGAAAGAGGTCCGGCTTGGGGTGTTGGCTGCGGGTGTGGAATGGCTCCTCCGGTGCCTTACCGCTTCACAGGACCGGTGGGTCACCATTAGGCACGAACAGCTTATAGTAGGGGGACAGATGGGTTTTCTACCTGTTGACCACGGTCCCCTTCCAAACTTGAGACTTTTCGGAGAAGGAATCTCCAGGGGCCCGACGTATCCGATACACGTATCAAGTGGGCCCCGTTGGGATCAATGCAAAGCGCCACTGCCTTCGACCTCACGTGACAGAACCGAAGACAGAGGGAACTCGGAAAAGACCATAAAAGCTAGAATCTAGACTAGAAAAGTCCATTCTCTTTCAGCACATGCATTGAGGAGGATGGAGTCATTGAGTAATTTGATGAAGACAGGATCCTTTCAATGCATTTTGTTGTACACTTAGTATATTTGATGCTTTTGGAGCGGCCAGGGACCTTCGAGTGGCCTTTCTTTTTATTTGCCTCATATACTTAGCCACCTGCCATCCGAGGCCAAGATCAGTTGTCTCGCAGACCTGCGGACGGTTCAACGGCAAAGTCGTGCGAAAAGGATGTCTCGAGTGGAGAAACAAGGGCGCAATGAACAGGTTGGTCTAAAATATACGGTTAAACCAATCCCAAACCTACTTCATCAATTAGTTTTCTTGAAAGTACGGAGAAGTCCTGCGACAGTGAAAGCAGGGCAAACGCTTCTTGGAGGTCCAGTCCCCATTCAGGAATGCTTCTCCCAGCCAGAAACATCAAAACAGCCAATGTGTTGCTGCACAATCCGTTGGTTGAGTCAAAGTCGGGTGCGCATCCACAAGCCTAGAAGCCATCCTGGAATGCCTAGTTCAGACTTGTCCTCAAATGCTTGCAATGGAAACGTAGTAACATTTGTTGAACAGCCCACTCCCCAAGATGAAGCCTTGCATGTGCTCGCCTTTGACCTGTTTTGCTGGGGCAGTCTTGATTCCCATGCTCGCCAGGTTCAGCTTGGCTCTTGTAGCTGGAGTTGAATATGAAACAGATGGAACACAAGGAACATGTCAATTTCAAGAATTCACGCATACCATGAAACAACAGCAGTACACAACAGAGCTGAAAGCTTCCCAGATTTGTGTAGAAGCGGACCCACGGTGAGCCTGGCGGTTGGTTTAATCAATATGCAGTTGTACAGTGACACTAGCTAATACTATCTAATACTAATTGCTTCACGCTTGTTGCTTCCAAATACATGAGAAATCAAGTGAAATCATGTGAATTTATATGAACAATTCATACCTCACTCAGACTCAACCATCCCTTGGATTCCGAAATACACATGCTTGAGTGTGGGGGCGATCCCGCACCAGAGGATGTCACTTGGCGCACAGCTTGGGTATTGCCACATAACCTGCGCGTTTGTCGATCTAAAGATGTTTATTGCACACTTTTTATCACATGTTTCAAACTGGAAAGTTCCGGCGGTTTAGGGTTTAGGGTGTTCTCCGGTGTTTTGTAGTATATGGGAGAACGTTGCTCGTGGGCCCCAACAACAACGTGCAGTATATATACCTCTAGGATCGTGGACACGTTGCCATGTCCGTGCAGTTTCGGTCCATGGTAACATTGCAGTTGGTGACTTGCATTGATTTAATGGCCGGGCCATCTCAACGCATGATGCATTACGATTCCTGAACTAATCAGCAGGGACCCAAAAGAAACACCGTGGTGGGAAGCCTCTCATCAAAGAAAGGATTTTTGCCTGGTGGTTCCGCTGACTTCTCTCATTTATACAATACATGATTCCCCCTACAGGAAGATCTCGTGTCCCTTTGCCTCAGCCTTTGCAAGCGACCTCAGGGTGACAATCGGTGACCAGGTCCACCTGGTGCTCGGTACAGAGTCGAAGTCAACGAGCAGAACCTGAGGTTGCAAGATGTTCACCTTGGCACCGTGGCCTCAGGTCGAACGATTGTTTTCTGGTCGGACCACTGATGGTGTTTCTACTCCGGATATGAGAAAGAGGAGTTGGATGGAGTGGCTAAGTTGCTAATGAAACCATTGCGTTTTTTTTAAATCTCTTTACGATTCTTTATGTCATTGCATGAATATGAAAGAATGATGACTGAATTGTTGGAAATAATTCCTTGTTGGTCCCCTTGGTTTCTTGGGTTCACTGTTGGTTACCTTCTGAAGTTGTTTTTTGTCCTTTCTCGTTTTGCTTCTCTGGCATGGTTGGCCTGAGATGTTGTGACCTACGCGTGCATGGTGCCCGCCACCGTGGCCATTCAGGCTTTTGGATCCTTGAGCAGTCACACACACACACACGATTGGGCTCACACACAGACAATACCACACCACACATGACATCAAGAGGTACGCTCAAAGCATATCAAACTATTTGAAAGCAACTCCTTTTGGCTGTCCCGTTGAATTTGGAAGATGCCCAGCACTACCCTCCGCCCGATCGACATGAGACATTCATTGAAATTCCGGAGCCGCAAAAAAAGAAGCAAAGATATGTTTTTTTGAAACATGTCATGGATTGAGTGCTGGTGGTTGTGCGAGTCGATTTGCAGTGAGAGAAGTTTTGTTTTGGACATGTACAGGTCAAGAGATTGGAGTTGGGGAGCTACTAGTAGCTCCTGGCATCGCTACTAGGAACCCGGGCATCGCTACTAGGAGCAAGGATGCTACTAGGGGCTCCTGGCATTACTACTGAACAAGAAGACTACTAGGAACAAAGCTGACTCCATCAACTTCAGCAGCCCATCCCCGAGTGCTTTTACGACTCGGTTTTTCTTGTGGCTGACAGACTTGCGGCCCTCCTTGGGGCAGCTAGCAATAGCCAGATTAATATGATATGATATGTATATTTATGTATACTGTAATACAATTGTATATATATACACTATGTATCATAAACTGTAGATGTATTATGTATCCAGGGGGTGCTGTCAGATCAATTTTGTACATCTTGAGCTTCAATCCAACAGCCCGTCCGAAGGTAGAGACGGATGCGTTTTCATTCCGAGTCCATCCCAGCCACACCTTCTCAGAAGGTATGCGGCTCCCGAAGTTGTATGAGTAGAGGATGACGCCTGAAGGTGTACTTCAGCTTGCAGCACGGGTTTCACCTCTATGCTGTGCAAACTTTGCTTCAACAAGGGCAAGGGCACAGAATTCGAGTGCAAGTTGTTATATAAGATAGGAAAGCCGTACCTTTTGGTTGCACTGCTGGACTGTCTTAGTGCACCATTGCATACAGCGAAAAGGGAGCAGACGGAGTCCGAAGTACCGTTTTTGCTAGAACTGTTCACAGACTCACTTCATTGCAAGTGGACCATTGCCACTATCCAGATGATCTGGCCACGCGGTGCAGAAGATGGCATACAGCATACATTGGCATACTGTTTAGGGCGTTTCATCGGCGTCCTGAATTTGCTCAAATCAGGGCATTGATTAGAGTTTCCTAGAGTTGTCCTGACCCAACTTGTGAGCTCTGAGGGCTCGCTTTGGACGATTGGAGCCATGCCAGTACTGAAGTATGCTGGGACATTCATTTGCGTGGAGGAACCGAGAAGCTTTGTTTTTTTAGGATGAATGATATGCACTAGATCACGCATGGCCCACCAGGTGATGTCTTGTAGATCTTGTAGAATCTTGTAGACTATGTACTGTATGAGTACAAGTTGTATCTTAAGCCCCTGGAGGCTGAAGGGAGATTCGTTCTATATGATCGTTCATGGTGTAGCGGG